AAAAAAAAAAAAAAGTCCAGGTAAACCCACAAAAGAATGTTTAATTTATAATATATCTATTAATACTAACAACCTCCCCACCATATATCATAGTCATTTGGGGGAAATGCACTCAGCATTACCACTCGAAATGCCAGAGAACACGTACTCCGCCACTCCCTCAAGATGAGATTTTTCTTTTTTCTATCAGACCTTAGACCTGTGATTTATACTCATGTTCTTGGTGGCCCATAGCAGGTTGAAAGGATTCCTTTTGGGAGTTGCTGGGGAGGTATGAGGAGCTTTGAGGGACCCAGGCCTTCTGCTGGCCTACTGTCCCACCACCCCCTGAGTTTAGGCCACTTCTCTGTCCCTATGAGGTGAATATTGTTGTCCCTGTTTTAGAGAGAAAGAAACTAAGGTTTTACAAAGTTTAGTAACTTGCTTAAGGTATGTACAAAATAAGAAGCAGAATAGAGATTTGTACCCAGGACTGTCTAACACCAATGCCTGTGCTCTTTCCGCTAACTGTGCTGCCTTGTAACTGGGCTTTCTCACTGCCTTTAGCCTGCTGTGGAGTGGAATACATTCTCACTGCTTTTCCTTGCCTCTCTGTCTGGAAAGCAGTCAGATTGTTCTTTTTGAGTTGTCTAAGGGAGCATAGTGGAGTCAAACCTGAGTTCTAATCCTCTCAGAGCCTCAATTTCCTCATCTGTAAAGTGGGAATAATATCTATTTTGCACACATGTCCAGACTAAATGACATAGTATATGAGCACTTTTCACAATTCCCCACTACATCGCAGAAGCTCCCTAATGGTGGTGGTGTATTGTTGCTGTTAATGGATTGTAATAATAGCACAAAAGACAGAGACGCTTAAAAAACTTTTTAATTCAGTGCTTCTTCCCTCTCCCTGCTTTTCTTTTCTCTCTTATACCCTATCAGATAACACAACAGGGATAAAGATGGATGTTCTGGCCCACAAAGATCTGAAATGAAATTAATTTACATTCCAGAGGGACCTCCATATTTGGGGACTCTAGGGTCCTTTGAGGAGGGGAGTGGGTATGAGGAGATGGGAAGGAATGTGGCTAGCTAGGGTGAGAGGAATGGCAGTTGAGAGGAGAGAAACTTAACACCTCCTTCTGAATGGCCACCATCAGGCCCACAACCAAATTTTTCCATTGAAGTTGGCATTAGGATGAAGCAAGAAGCTGCATAGTGCAGCAGCAGCAGGGCCTGCCTCCAGGCAGCACGGGAAAAGGAAACATCAGTGGGCATTTGACCAGTCTGCTGGCAGCTGCCAAAGGAAACAAAAGTCTAGGACTGCACATGAATGTTTCTTGAGTGATAGTCTCAGTAAACAGCACAGAAATTTAATATGCATAATAGAGAACTTAGCATATGAGAACGTGTTCCATTTTTGACAATCTTTTTTTTTTTAAGAATTTGAAACTATTTAAAGCGTATGTATCTAGTAAGCTAGTTGAGTTCTAATAATACTGCTCTGTTTCTAATTCTGTAAATTAATTCTAATAATTTTCTATCTGTCAATGACTTTCTTTTCCTGCTCTGCTCTCAGGAAGAAGACAGCTTCCTAGAAAAGGTAATGCAATCTATGCGGTTCCCTGTGCTTGATTAACATTTAACTGTGGTCCTTGGAATTTGTCCCTAGGCTTTCCCATAACAGAGACCTCTGACTCTGTGAAAATCCCCCAAAGCTGGCTTTTAGTGTGTCTGAAGTACAGGAAAGGTACTTGTACCAGTCAAGTCACTAAGACTCAGGACATAAAAGCAATAGGACTCAAGGTTCCAGACTTTTATTTTTGAAATGAGAAATAACTAAAGAGCTGCCTGATGCATCTGAAAGTTCATGAGACGGAGGAAGGTACCACTTAGCTGTCCTCCATTTCCAATGATAGTAAAACCAGAAATAGATTACTCTTGTATTAAGAGTAATTTGGGTTTAGTCATAATAGTGATTAATTACTGAAAGAATACCCAGATATGGTCAAGAAATAGAGCATAAGAATAGAATCATAGAACTGAATGAGTTCATAGGGATCATCTGGTCCAGCTCTTTGCCTTCAGGCAGGGTCAGGTGTTTTCTCCTTTTTATTGATGAGGCAACTAAGGCCCAGCACAACTGAAAAACTCACTGGAGCCATACTGCTCCTGACATCAGGGGTGTGGGCCAGAGGGAACCAGAACCCAGGTCTCCTGAATGCCTAGTGAAGCGCTCCTTTGGCAGCTTTCCGCCTCTTTGAGCTGGGGAGTGCCTGGCTCCACACACGGCTGTCAAGTAGAGAAACATGGGCTTAACATTCCTAAAGCATTTTCACGTGGTCTCTAACGTGACCTCCCAGTTTGGTGTAGTTAAGGCATTTTGATGGTGGGGATGGCATACTGTTTGTGCCTTAGCTATTAGCACTAAGGTTATAATGTGTGGGCTTACCATGCACTGAATGTGTCTAGTTGAAAAAAATCAAAATGTGCCTGGTTTCCCTTGGAAGATTAGAGTTCTGGTTAAATTTGTGGACTTTTAAAAAAGTATTGTTTCATGTGCATGATCTTTCTCTAGACTTCAGAGACCACAAGTATGACATTTATTATTATTACACATGAATTTGAAAATGGGTAGTGGATGGTGTATATAACCTACTGACATTTTATTAACCTTTTTAAACCACTAAGGATTGTGACGGTTCTGCTTTCCAGCCTTTTCCTGTTATTAGCAGGCCATGTTCTGTCTTTTCATCTTGGACAGTGCCTTGTGTTGCCTTAATGCCTTAGTACGGGAAAAGTGCCAATTGGATGTCATATTTTTTTATGAATACATGAATAAATGCTGAATAATTTATATATGGTAAGTTTAGTGGCATCTGCTACAGAATCTGTACATGTGTTGCATTTGGTCCAGAAAGTGAGCAGAGTGCATTATGGACAGTGTTTTGGCTCAGATACCATGTGGATGCCTGGATTTAATACTCACAATGGGAAAGAAGTTAGAGGACGAGCCACTGTTAGAAGTTCTGGCAGCTCTAGGGAACTTGAAATATCAAGTGATAGAAGCCCAGGAAAAGAAAGAAAGGAAGCAAAATCAATGTGAAGAAAATAGATTTTAAACACTAACCAGCTGTCATGCTCCCTTCTCTTTCTCATCCCCTTAGAAAGACACAGTGGATTTAAAAGGTCACCAGTGCTTACTGAAGAACAAAATGTTAAGAAGAGCCCTTAGCTCTGCTCTGGTATACACAGTCTCTGGGAGGAGCAAAATGCTGCTTTTCTTTCCCTTAAAGCTACATGGCTGGGGGTTGTGCATGGAATTTACAGAATTTCCTGAAGTTGAACATACATAATATATGACCGTAGGCTGGAGGTGGAGGATCGGGAAAAGATGCAAAAAAAGTTGGTCACTGTTTTCTCCACTAGGATTTTTCTGAAGGCTGCCTTCAGATGCATTTTAACCCATTTCAGACATCTTTGTGATAGAATTTATATTTGACTATATAAACATAAGATAATTGAGTTTATTCACCTACCATTTTCAAGTTCAGATTTAGTTATTGACCCAATTTATGTCACTTCTGGGTTTTTCTCTTAGATTCTTTTAGGAGAATCTAACAGATAGTAGTAGAAAGATAGGTGAAAGGAGTCAAAGCCCCGAGAAATTTTTGCTGAGCTATTAATATAAAAATAACTTCTGGATTCAGACCCTGGACTTTTCATAGTATTTCTGGCTCTTGGTATGCTGTATTCAGTTTACTATTTTTGGATCTTAAGGCTTAATGACTTTTAGTGCCTTAAGATTAGACCTTCTGTCAAGCCTGAAATAATTCATGCATATAGGTCTAATGTGGAGAATTGTCTTTAATTCCTGAGGACCAGCGAACCTCATTTAAATCAAAAATGAAAACTGTAATATTTGTGGTAAAACCTGAAAGAAGAATGAGTTAAAAGTCAACAAAAACCTAAGTAGATGCTGCTCTCTCAGAGTACTGTGTTGACAATTGTAATTTAATGGTCCACAAGTCTCTGGTGGTGTGTGGACTCTACCGTGACGGAATTGCTGGAGTGCTGGTTCTCAGTGTCACCCTTGAAAGGATTTACAGCACACAGTGCATCCAAGTGATAAACCTAATAAACCCAAATGGAATGCTTACCGGTTAAGTGAAGCATCTAGAAAAGGAGATCCTTTAACTGTGGGAATCAGTATAAAGTACCTTCTGACCAGGGGTGTTCCCAGTGAGAGAAAAAAAACAAAAATCTTAACAGATAAAGATGCAGTTGTACCCGTATGAGCAGAATTTGAAGGAGTGTAAGGTACAGACACAGGTTTACTGAGATCCCTTTGATTCTCATCCTTTTTCATCCCTAAGGAGAAATCCCTTCTGCAGATGGTTCCCTTGGATGAAGGCACCAGTGAGAGACCCCTTCAAGTCCCCAAGGAGATCTGGCTACTGGTAGATCACTTATTCAGATATGCCTGTCACCAGGTAAGTGAGAGTGGGCCTGCTCCTCAGCTTTGGAGAGAGTGTGAGTCCAGTGGGAAATGATAATACCTCACAGGAGTATAGAGCTTTTTCAACTCTTCCCAAGCTACCTCCACACAGCAGCACTGTCAGATCGCCTGGCCAGAAAGAAGTATCCCTATTTACAGATGTGAGAGCTAAAGCTTCCAGGCTAAGTGATTTACCTAAGACCAGGGCATAAGCGAAGTGGCAGGCCTGGGTCCCGAACTGAGTATGCCTGTCTCCTGGCTACACATGCTTTTCCTTGGACCACTGCGTGCCTGAGCCTGTTACGCCTGCTTTAGGCATTGCAGATTTTAAAGTTCAAAGCAAACTTCAACCCCATTTTTAAAATTTGGTCTCCATTTTTCTTTTAAATCCTTTCTAATATACCAGTCACCCCCAACTCATTTTCCCCCAAAAAAGAGATTTCTTGGGACCAAATTGAGGGGCAAGGTTTGCTATGGACTTGCCATTTGCTCCTGCCTCAGCATTCTGTAATACAGATCTCCCCCGCTATCTGGAAGTAGAACATTCCTATTAAACCTTTCATAAGCCAAAATGGTGTGAAGCGAAGAATTACCATTAATTTATATGAAAATATTTTTTAGTGTTCCCAGACCCCCAAAATGACCTGCCAAATCATACCAAATAACACATAAAACATAAAATAATACTAACATACAGTAAAACCAGGAATGCACAAAATAAATGGAGATGAAACACAGATGCTCACAGACAGTTCAAAACTGTGGTAGCTTAGTGCTGAGATGTTGAGTGTGGTTCCTGGGGAAGGAGCTTGGCAGGGCCACTCTTGCTGCTCGGGTGTGTGATGCCTATATAATGGCTTGCTGCAAAACAAACACTAAATGTTACTTTTGCTTTTTACCTTTTTTCATAAAAGCAAAAATTGTTTCTGGATTGCTTTCAGTTAGTGAAAACAGGTACTAACATAGGTCTTTCGTAAAAGCAAAGTGGCATAACATGAGCTTTCAAAAAGTGGGGGGCCCGGCCAGGAGTGGCTCAGCGGTTGAGCGTTGACCTAGATCCAAGCCATCAGGGTTTGATTCCCGGTCAGGGCACATGCCGGGGCTGCGGGCTCGATCCCCAGTCGGGGGCAAGCAGGAGGCAGCCGATCAATGACTCACTCATCATTGATGTTTTTGTGTCTCTACCCCTCTCTATTCCTCTCTCTGAAATCAATAAAGATATATTAAATAAAAACAAAAAGTGGGGGTACCTGTATCAGTGTTTAAATGTGGTTCTACTGTTTAGACTCTGTCTTTTGTCAACATGCTAGAAGTGGGAAACACCTGGTCTCCGGATATAGCCATCTAGTCCCATGCCATAATCAGGTACAGGCTAAAACCTTTGAAGATAATTTTCTGGTTTGAAATAAGATTTTACACAGATTATAGAGATGATAAAGAGAACAAGCACCTTTGTCACACCTCCATTCCTAATCATGAATATGCACACCACCCTTCCCTTTACTTCCTGCTGCTCTCCTGATCCCTGGGTGGTCTTCAGAACCCTAGGATTATCTTGCCTTGTTCCATCCCTTGTGACCTCTTTGGTAGGAGGACCTGTTCCAAACCCCTGGACTGCAGGAAGAGTTACAGCAGATCATAGACTGTCTGGATACCAGCCTTCCCGAGAAAATCCGTATCCTTTTTGACAAAGGCTTAGGAAACTACATTTGATTTTTGTGCTTCCATCTTTTCTTCATAGCTGTCGTTTATTATAATGTAATCATTGACTCTACAATTGTTTCTCAGTGTCTTTTAAAAAATGTTGACCTTTCTTTGAATCAGACTCTCACTAAAAAGAATCAAGGGTAAGTAACAATGACTTTTAATAAGTACGGAAAATAGGACCCACAACACTGGTACTGTTCTGCTTCAGGCAATTGATCACTCTTGCCACCACATGTCCTGTCACTATGACAGAGAGGAGAATGGGACTAATTTCCAGGACTGATCCAGTGTGGACTGTCACCCTGCAGGCTATATTCCCCTGACTCTCAAGTTAGGCCAAACCTCCCAAGAGTCTGATCAATTTTGTAACTCAGCTGCAATGTACATAGACCAATAAAATAAACCCCAGTTAAGATCAGCATGCCCTGAATAAGAGGAAGGGAACAGTCACTGGGGGAGCAGGAGATGGGGAGCAAATCAGGTGTCTCTGCGCCCTTTTTCCTGGAGCTCCTTTTCCTTGACTTAAGTGTATTCAGCTGGCAGTAATCACTCTGTGGCTGAAGCACTGCTCATTTTCCTGGAAGCCCTGCCAGAGCCTGTCATCTGTTATGAACTGTATCAGCGATGCGTTGACTCTTCTCAGGATCCCCGGGTCTGCAGACAGGTAAGTTTTATTTATTGTTCTGAGGATGTGTTCAGGACAGATTCTCCCATAGAGAAGTCATCGATTTTACAAAGCCAGATGGGCAGCCAGCTACGTGGTAAGATGGGTCTGAATCTTTTTTCATGGCTTGACACCACCTTTGACAGTTGGAACCCTTACTTTTTAGGTTGCATTATTTCCTATTATATTTTGCACCCTCTTCCTGTTGGCTCATTGAGTAGGGTGGATACCTCTACTCTGCTGTAAGATTGCTGAAGCTGATCACACATGGGATTCTGGCTAATGTTACTTGTGAGCCTTTCTTTTTGTCTGCTTGGTGTTACAATAGCTGAGAATATCTCTGAATCAGTTTTGGGAGGAGCTCCCATCCATGCTAAATGACATTGCAGAGAAAACTTCAGCTTGGCAGATGCCATGGGTACCTGCCATTTTCCCATCATGGGGAAATGAGAAAAGACCAGATTACCACCGACCTGCTTGTGAAGGTGTGATGACGGCATGGCCCGGTCATTGAGTGGACAGGGGCCAAACAGTATGACCATTCTGACTTGGAAATTATCACTGGGCAGATACTGTGTTGGTCATGAGTAAATCAATGCGGGTTGTGACAGATGAATGGGGTCCTGTAAAGCTTGGATTATAAACTACTTTTATGGCAGCCATAAGTTCTTATTCCCTTCTTCCACCTGTTGTCCTCACTGCCTGCCCCCCTTTTAAAAAAACAGGTGATTTCCCAGCTTCCAAGATGCCATAGAAATGTTTTCCGTTACTTGATGGCATTCCTTCGAGAACTCTTAAAATTCTCCGAATACAACAATGTCAGTGCCAACATGATCGGTAAGACTACCTAATAAGAATGGCCACAATGGTGTTGTTCAGGACGTCCTTAATGTCCAGGCACAGGACAGTCACTTCCTTCCCACTGCCCTCACCCCCTGGTCCCCCACCCCCATCCCTGAGACTTCACTCAGGTTGTGTCTGACGAGGGGGTTTCCCCTTTTCTTTCTCTTGCCCTCTAGCTACTCTCTTCACAAGTCTTCTCCTGAGGCCTCCACCTAACTTGTTGGCAAGACAGACTGCAGGTGACCGCCAGCGTGCTATCCAGTTCCTTTTGGGTTTCCTGCTTGGGGGCGATGAAGACTAATAAGCCCTTATCTCTTAACTGCTCTTCGAGATTCTAGCGATGGAAGATCTTGGACACCAAGTATTTCAGAGTGATTTGCAAAGTCATGCCACAGGAAGGGTCTGTTGCAGAATTTTGAGGCTATTGGCATGAAAAAGGAAGAGTTTCCCTAATCCCTCCCTTCCGTATCCTACACAGAAAAATACTATTAGACTTATATTGCCAAGCCAAAGTTACCACGTTTTGGTGTTTTTGCGTTCTCTCTTTATAAGGCAAAGAGATCTGTATTTACACTTGTTTACCTGGGGATGTGTTTATTGCCCCCCACCCAGCTGTCATGATTGTCCTTAGCACCCTAGGCCTAGATTCTGAGATGTTTCTGTTCTAGGCCTACAAGCACTACTTGGTGTAGCTCAGACTTGTGTGTAGTCCTTCCTTTAAAGCACTTTTGCCCTACTGTCCCCACGTGGCCACTTTGCACTCCACTCCACTAGTGCTATCACATCGAAGGAAGTCTGAGTAAGGCTAGTGACTCCTTGGGTATCCCCAACAGTGAGTTAACGTTCTACATGTTTTTGTTACATGCATTTGTGCATTTCTGCTACAGTGGTATCTATATGTCTCTGTAACATTGGCCTTCTCATGGATCTGCACTGGGTGGAACCATAGTCTCTTGTCTCAGATCACATTTAGTAGCAGAACTTTAGGGACTATTAGAAATGACATTCCATTGATGTGAGAGAATCATAACCAGATTGGAAGCACTTTGAGTATTCACAAGTGAAATCATTCATGTTTGACAGATCTTGCTTCCTACCATCCCTTTCTCTTTTTCAAATTTTACATGAGAACTAATCCTGGGTGCCTATGGGACCCATCCCCCACTTAGAAATCCACCTCTGGAGCAACACTTACACCAGTCAAAAAGCAAGTCTGCACCTCAAACAGACTTTTCTAGAGATACTGCTCCTCCTCCCTCTCTAGTCTCCTGATGTACAAGGGGCCAGTGTCACCCCCTCCCTCATCAAGGCTGACTGTAACCAGCTCCCTTCAGCTCCCAGCCACTTTGTCCAGTACTGTGTAAGGGAGATTGTGCAGTGGGATCAGCTAAGCACCTTTCTCTCCCACCCAAGACAGCCCCTCTGAGCTCTTCATTTATTCAAGCTCTATAGGGCAACCTTTTTTAAAAAAAAAACTATGTTGGTTGGCAAACCAGCCACTGACTGCAAAACTGCCTGATGCAATTGGCTTCCTCTTGGTTTTCTTTCATTAAAACCATCCTGAGTCAGCTTATTAAATCCAAGTTGCCTAACGGACAGACATTGTGTCCAGTGTCAGTTAGGACACTGACTCCTAACCTTCTGGTGCATAAAAGGAGAGAGCCAAGAGAAACACCACAGCTGAATGGTTCTCTAGTTCCACCATCTCTTATAACTTGAGTTTTTTGGGGAAAGAAAATGTACGTATCCTGTGATAGACTGGATAAACCCTTTCCTGACTGAGACTTGCGGAAGTAGGAATCAAATTACTGGTGCCAAATAGCTACAGGTCTGTTAGATTAGGGGCTGGGTATTGACGTAGTAAATGGAAGATGGTGAGCAGAACACTTTTGTCAGAAAGGGATCATAGGTGAGGCAGATTATAGAAGTTGGGCAAGGTCATAACACAAAGATAGGCACATTTTCTAGTATGTTGTCAACCTGGGACCTTTGGGTAGTCAGCGATGTGGTTAGTGGGAACTGTGTGCTGCATCCTAGCTCTTTCCTCATAAGGCAAACGCCCTAGGTTAGTTCATTGCCTCAACCTTTTTTCCGGCTCTGGTCCTAGGATGTACACAGGGTTGAGAGTTTTAGACAATCTCTAGGTAGGGGAGACAAGAAATAGAGCAGACATAAGAGATCTGCCTCCTTTAGCACCCCAACCTCTAATTCCTAAGTACCTCCAATGTACTACTCCGTAACACCTCTGAAGGGAGGAATTCAGATCCAGCTGGTAGGGAAGGGCTCTGCATCTACAGTTTTAGGGAAGAAACGTTGCAAACTCGTGTGGTTAATGTTGCATTAGTCTCCCTTTCACTGTTTTCTGACTCTTATTCTGTAATTGTTTGTTACATTTCCCAAAAATGTTTTGGTCACTAAGCAAAGCTGCTAGTGGGATTCTGTATTTTGTGTCATCTTTTTTATTATAATTTATTGCAAATCGTTTTCTGAATAAATGTTATGTTGTGTGAAAAATCTACGTGTGATCTTGATGGGAAGAACTGAAGAGGGAGGCTTATGTCCTGGGTCCTAGCTGACTGTTGCAGTCCCCACAGCTATGTCTGTACTGTCATTTCCTGTCTTACAGGGAAATATCAAGAGTTCTCAGTGCCCTCGGACAGAAGAAGCAGCTGCGTATTTTCAGAGGCTAATAAAAAAGTCACAGTGCTTTCAGAGGCCAGCCAAGGGTCCTTATTTTAACCCTGGGGATTCAGGCAACAAAATAACCCTGTTAGGAGAAAGAATGTTGATTCTTAATGCGCAGAAGTGTCACACCCAGGAGCTCTCCAGGCCCAGAACCTGAGAAACCCCACATACACATTTTGGGAGAACCCAGTTGTCCTTGCCGACGTAGCCTCAGTGGTTTTGACATGCCTCCTAAAGTGCCTGTTTTCACATAATTCATTTTGCAACTTTTGAAAACCAGTTTTGAATTTTATCTCTTGGGGTGATGAAATCCATAAATTCAGTAGCTGGGGGAGGCTCTAACAGGAACACCCGCAGTTCAGGAGGAAGCCCGTAGCTCGGTGCCTTTATTCCCCTGCCACCTCCACTAGAAATTTGCACATTCTGATTCTGTTTCCTTTCTGACGGGAGGCTTCACTCAGCTGGAGGTTTCTTCCCAACCAGGGCCCTCTTCCAGTTCCTTTTGACTGTGAGCTTGACCCTGATGAATGTGCTGACTCAGTGTTGTCACGAACAGCGTTTCTAGCTCCACCCAAAGCCTTGGCAGAGGAAGGCAGGGTGTTTTTGTTTTTGTTTTTTGTGGGGGTGGTTTCCCCCTCAGTGGATGGAGACTGACACTCAGCAGTGTTTACTCAGCAGCAGGCAGTGTGGCGGAGCAGCCTCAGCGACCACCTTTCCAGACGTTAGCAACTGCATCCCCGGCTGCTGTTCCAGGAGAACCATTAGGGCCTTTCTGACTGCAGGGCAAATTGAAGGCCTGGTTCTGGGTGTAGCCTAGAAATCTGAAGCCACACTCTGCCACCGTAGGCTCACAGTGTTAGAGAGCTTGGTGACGATCTAATCCAATCTCATTCTAATGGGCAAA